TTAGAAAAGGAAAAATCACCAATCAGGGTGTTTTTAGGAAAATAGGAGTCTTCTTCGAGGAAAACCGCAGAGACTCCGGCAGAAACACTTGGACACTCGGGAGAATCACTTGGCCACTCGGGAGAATCACTTGGCCACTCGCAAGTGAAACACCTCTCACTTCGCAGTAGAATTTATATCTTGAATTAGTTGTAGAAAATAGAACATAAAATAAAAACTTAGTGTTTCAATCAAGAAACTGGTCCTTTGTAGCCTTGGACCATTAGTCGGCACACACGTGCAAAAACCGGCAAAGCTTGAACGATCGAAAGATCAACCGCAAGCCCCTAACACCCAAATTTCCAGAAATTTCGATTTCGGTACCTGTATATACGAGCATATCTAAAATACTAGGGTGGATTGGAAAATTCACGGCCTAAGTATGAAGGATTGCAGCTAAGTGCTTGTAATTTTTACCGAATAATATGTATACAGTTTCGTGTCTCTGTCGTTATTTTTCTCGCTTTTAGAGCTAGCGAAGTAGAGGTATTTGCAGTAGATGGAGTAGAGATGGACAGAATTAGAAAACGAACAGCGATCCAATACCTGAAGATACAGGACCTCACGTCGAAGGACCTTGCAAAAATTATTCGAAATTCTTGCGAAAATCATTCAAGGTCCTTGCGGTGATGTCCTTTGTCACCAGGTACTGGATCATTCCTCGCTTCTATTCGTCTCTTCTCCGTAAAAGAGAAGAAAAAACTGACAGAGCCACGAAACTTCGTACGTCGGTACACAAGTGATCACAGATTACACCGTAAAAATTCTTCCCACTTGGGCCGCGAACTTTTCAAACCACCCTCGTATACCCCGTTTTACAGTCACATGCAACGGAGGACTTTATGCCAAATTGATTGCGTTTGGACGGAATAAGTTGTTTGAACGATGAGCGACCTTTGAACAATAATAAGCTTTCGTCGAGACAAATATTCCGAAAAAGATAGAAATTTTCTTTTAAAAACAATCGAAATCTGTCGTTTAGTTCACGAATTTTGAACAGTTGGACAGTCGACAGTTGGATACTTTGGGATTGCTAAAGTGTGGCCGCTGCATTAAGTTCAACAGTGAAGGTGTTACAGTAAGAACACCTTTACATCTTTCGTGTATATTGATAAATCTGTGAGAGCGTATGTCTACGCCTTTCGTAGTCAAAGGGTTGAACGACGCGAGGTAAATCTTTTTCCCACGAATGACACCAGTGTGAAATTAAATTTGCAGCGTGAACAGCGACGGCCTGTCACCCCTGGATGTCGCGGTGCTCAGCAACAATAGGCCGCTTGCAAAAATGCTGGTCGCGTTCGGCGCACAGGAGGGTAATCAGTGTAAGTATCCAGGGATTCAATTACAAATTCCATTTGTTACCGTTTACACAGCATACCGGACCCGCTCGAAACTTCCTGACAATCGAATCTGTCGTTGCACCGTCTCTCTCCCTCACCCTCTCGAATCAAACACGACAATGTTCCAGGGGAAAATGGAATTTTCACAGGCTCTATTTTATCGCTACTTTTTTTCCACGGCACGATTGCCACGATTGTTGAATTTTTCCTGTAGCTTCCACGCTTTTCTCTCTCTGTTATTTCATTGTGGACTAGGGCAGACGGTGATTCAGTTTCGGAATGTAAATTATTTGCTTAGAAATCGAGGCGATGCTGAGTGTACTAAATAAATAAATCTGTTCTCCTTTTATTTTATCCCGAGTTTTTATCGAGAAATTCTGTGCCACGATTAATACAATTGAATTATATTGTTCAATCGAGAATGTTTATTCAGAAAAGAGAGAGTACGATGCTTTTGCTCGAACAATTTTGCTATTTGTTTCTCCACTTGGTAGCAGAGGCAGACAAATTGAAAGCCTTTCGATGGATTCTCTTCGTTTCGCGGGACAATACCTCTGCAAATTTCCCGTTTGTCTCGAACGCTGGAAAAAAAAAAGAAAAGTGGAGCTTGACAAATAGGTCGAAACCGAGCAATTCTTTATCCCCGTCCCCGCGAAATAATTGTTCCGCCGTGTGGCTGAACGTTACCTAGCGATATCCGTGTGATCGACAAGCGAGAATTTCACGAACGATTCTGCTAGGCGACGGCCTGAGTAGGGAAAATCACGAATTTCACGCGGCGGCGTTTTCTGTAGAAATCGAGATTTCGGAAAAGTGAAAAAAAGAGAGAGAGAAAGGTAGAATTTGGGATAGCCAGAAGGGAGAGGGGAAAAAATAGTGGAACAGGATGGGATTCCAATTAGGATTCCGCAGTGTGCAATAAAAATTCCGTCGAGCTTTATTGCGTTTTGTCCGCGACGGGACAAAAATAAAAGGAGAATGCGACGTGTGCATGAAAGGACGAACCTCTCTCGAAGCCTTCCTCTTTTTCTCCTTTAAACTACTTTTGGTTAAAGTAGTTTAACCAAACGTAATTGCAACTGCAGAATCCTGTCGATAATTAAACTTTGCCCCTATTTTTCGAGGATTTCATTAAAATTGCCTCGACGATTCCGTTCTTTCTCCATTTTTCGCGGATTCCGGGGGTATAGAGGCGCGACTTGACGCGGTTCGATTTGAGAAACTCGAGCGATTTCTGATAGGTACATGTTCAAGTATTTGAATTCTGTTCGAGAATTGAAATTTGGTCGAGTAATTTTTAAGGGAATTTGAAGACTCCTGTTTTATTGGATCGTTGTGAATTAAATTCGAAATTTATTAAACTTAAATATTCCAATTTCATTGGACGATTTTTAATTAAATTTAAATTTAAAAATTCCAATATTTTTGGACGCCTTTTGAATTAGAATTAAATTTTAATGTTCCAATTCTGTTGGATCCTTTTTCGTTAAATTTATTAAATTTAAGTGTTCCAATTCTATTGGTTCCTCTTTCATTAAAATTTATTCAATTGAAAAATTCCAATTTTATAGATCGCTCTGAGTTAAATTGGCTCGATATAAATTCCCATTATTCAATTTATCTCATATTTCCATAATTAGATACCTATTGTTCCCCTAATTATCGATTCACAAAACCCTCGCAAACAACTTAACGAACGAAACCTCCGATATCTCGGCGCGTTCGTAATTAATTAATTAGACGTGCATCGAGAACAGCTGGTGTAACTAACGTTGTACACGAACGAACGTGGAAATTTTCAACGGAGTTTGCGGTCGAATCGATTCTCCATGTTAATACCTTTTGCGAAATGTAACCCGCAGAGATCTCGCTGATGATGCTTCGATGCAATTAGAATTTCCAACCTCCCTCGTGTCCCTGCATTAAACAGTAATTTGATAATTGAATTCGCTCTCGCGATATTTCGCGAAATATCGTTTAAACGTTACTTCCGCATCTCCTCCGTCTCTCGTTTGTTTCGTTCTTTCCTTGCTTCGTCAAATCTCCACCACCGGTGTTTCCATTTTCCCCGGGGAAAACAATACTCGCCAATTTGAAGTTTTAATTGCTCCATGGTTGGGAACTCGAACCATTCGAGTGTATATATCGCGTGACATCTACAGAAAGACAAGAAAATTATTTCTATCACGATGGTTACCTCACTTTCGGTAATATAGCGCAATTTTTTTTTGTATTTTAAAGTTAGATTCATTTTGTGCGTCGATCTTGGGGGAGACACGATTTGTGCAGGCGTTAAAGTCTCTGGAATTAAAATCTCCCCATTTTTGCCACGCTCAATTTGCTCGAAACGGAGTAACTTGTTCGTTTTCTGGGAGATACGTTTAATTTCTCTTCTCAGAGTCCTTTGACCTTTCTCTGTAACATTTTCTACCGGATTACATTGTTTTTTGCTTTGTGTGTGTGTGTGTGTTTCTTTTTTAAATAAGAATACTCGTTTAACGAGCTCGGTTTGCGAAGAAATGAGAGGAAAAATTGTGTTGTTATCGATATCCCGTCGGTTATAGCTAGCAGAACCGCTTTGAAAGTTGTAAATTAATCCTTTGGTAAGTAAACTGTCTCGCTAGAAAGTGGAAATCGATATCTGGTGTGGACACAATTGTGGCGAAACGATCCGTGGCATGATCGTCCCACCTGAATGAAATTCATCGGAGATTTTGCATTCATAAAGATCGCGGGATCACTGAATCGTGTTTCAATTGGATGATTTCTCTCTCTCTGCCGCGATTCTCCTCTCACAAGCTATCCTTGATTCGTGCAATTCACTCGATTATCACGAATTCATCGTTCAGAAGAGCTTTCCCTCGTGAATTTGTTTTTTTTTTCTTACTTCGCTGAAGCTACCTTGGAATGATTGAACCGTCGGCTAACAAACTCTATTCACAATGTGTAATGTGAAAAACGAGAAGTGGAAAATTGTAAATTGGGCGAAACTGCGGAGAAACATTTTTTTTTTGGCTATAATTTTCATTTGTTTTCGTTGTGCACAGTGTTTGGGAAGAAATGTAATTTAATGTAATTCAATTTTGCAAAGTGAAAATTAATTTTTAAAATTAAAAGAAAGTAATTTTTCGTGTATTTCGTTTGTTCTTTTCCTCGATGAAAGTAAAGCTTGAAATTTACATTTCAAAGTTCTCCAGGGGAGCGAGAAAGGTTAATGTAGACGTTAAACAGATAAGAATGAAGAAAAAATGTAAAAAATTATACAGTGCGAATTTAATGGTAGAAATTCTCTGGACTTTGTCAACAGTCAAATCTCCGGAGTCCCTGGGCAGCCATTTGGCTTCGTTGCTGTCCGAGGCGGAACACAGAGTTCAAGAACTCGGCGGGAGTACTTCCGGTAGCGGCGGGACCACCCTTCTGGAGCCACCGAGCAGTCATAGATCAAGTTTTTCCTCGCAGCACAACAATCTCACGGGATGTGGTGGTAGTACCGAGGACAAACAGCTTGCTTTATGGGAGAGAAGAGCTAGAGCGCTCAGGAAGATGTTGCTTGGGTTCGATCAAGCCAGTGAGTCTTCTAATTACGTTCTTCCTATGGTAAACCTGCGAAACTTACGAGCAAAGCTTCTTCAAACTTTTTCGAAAAATTGAAGTTTTCAAACCACTTTGTCAATTGTGTCGCTGAATGTGATAGCGTTCTAAGTCATATTTTTGCACTGATTTTATAGTGACACACTTGTGAAATTTTAAATGAATAAATTTGTGCATTTAGCTCAGATTCTAATTTGAAATACTAGAATACCAGGGTGCTTAAAAAAATGTTGACACGAAATTTATGCGTACTTGAAAGTAGGCTTTTAAAGTTCAAGGAAAGTCCTGAAATTTCGTGGCGACACGAAAGTGTTCACATCTTTCTTTCTTTCTTTAAACATCCTGTACGACCGTGAGAGAATTAGTCAGAAATATTTACCACGTTCGTTTCCTACCAGGACCTCCGGATATGCCATTCTTGGTCGCTGTCGACGTCACGGGAACGAACTCGGTAACGGTGAGGTTCCAGGAGCCAGATTCCCACGATTCTCCTATCTGCACCAAGTTCAAGGTCCAATGGAGCATTAAGGAGGATTTCTCGGTGATCTGCGGGGAGAGAGAGGTTCTGGACATGAAACAACGAGAGTGCAGGATCGACGATCTCATCCAGGGACAGAAGTATTACTTTCGAGCAGCTGCTGGTAACCTGAAAGGTTACAGCAGGTTCAGGAACTCGACTCCTGCACATGTCACTCCAAGCAGTACGAATCGTCTTTAATTTCCTCTCTAAAAGCTATATATATTTTTTATTTACTTATTTGGAAAAATGTGTCGCATCTCTGAGTGAATTATTTGGGTCAGGTCGAAGTTTAGATTCACTTGAATCGTGTGAAATTCAGAGTTTCCACGTGCTAATCATGAAGTTGCCGGAATTTGGAGTATCTGCAATGTGCACAATTATCGTTGCAGGCTGGAGGGACATCGATGGCAGGGTGCCAAGGTTTGCCGGCCGATTGGAGCAATTGAACACTCTGTTCACGGATATAAGGCGACCGGAGTACACTCAAGAGACGCCAGCCGTGCAGAGGCGTAATCACAAGAAGAAGACGACGATAAAACAGCTGTTCACCGCGACCAGCAAGTTCCAGAAGAACCTGAGGCGCGGTGTATTCCTCGCCTGTTTGCTCTATCACGAGGACAAGGTGCTGGTGACGAACGAGGATTTCTTACCTGTGATCGAAGTCGACGAGACTTACCCTAGCTGTATCTACAACGATTTCCATTGGCTGATGAAGGTGGCCTGTACCTGGGACGACGTGAAAACCCTTCGTCAGGACATGGAGAAGAGCCACAGTAGCTCGACGAATCATTTCAGAATAAAACTGTTGCAGGCCGCTGCACAAATGCAGGTGTGTGTTAAAAAGATTCAAAGAAACCCCGCTAAATTAGGATGGTTAATTAATGCTTGATACGTTCTTGGTTTTCTTAGGCAGCACTGTGTATACAGGACCTTGGTCAGCTCTACCATAAGCCCATCAGAGACATTCAGGGAACTTTGGTCTTCTCCACTGTGAATTACATAAAGTCTCCTAAGCTAATTTCAGTGTTGAACAGCAGATGGCTACCACTGAACAAAGTCACGAAGAAAGTCATAACTCACGAAGACAGCAATGTGGCGGACATCTTAATAGCCAGTATACAAGAACAGATGACCTATCACCACGTTAGCAGCATTAAACTGTCAAAGGGACTTTACCTTGGTTATCTAAAGATGCAGAGCAGCGTGGATCTAATTCAAGTGGTGGTGCCCGCGAAAGCGCCTAACGTTTTACCTCACTGCAAGATCCGCGACAATCCGCATGTCTCTGCGTGAGTATCTTCGAGGATAATCTTCGTGGAGATTCTTGCAAATTCTACGGGTATTTATTTTTCGTGCTATTTCAGCGAGGAATGGGATTATCTGAAGAGGATAACTCGCATCCACGCATCAGACACTTTGGTGAAGGACTGCGAAGAGAAGGAGAACGTGACGAACGAGTCTCTAGGCACGGAGCAACAGAAATTGTTCGTCGACCTCGTTGCCGCTACTGCAAGGCGATTGTTCAATTACATGGAGATCAGCCCTGAAGATTCTTTGGTCCACCGACTCTACGACGCCGAAGTAATCGATCTTACTCACGATGTGTCCTTCCTGATCGCCGTGCCTCCTGCAGAAACCGCCTGCTGCGTACCCGGAACCCGAGAGATCCTCCTCCAACGCGGCGATCTTTTATCGTTACCTATTCAAGTATTCGAGATGGTCTATTTGAACACCTATCAGAAAGACGTGATAAACAGATACTCGAGACTAAGTTGCATTCTCGAACTGGATACTGCACAAGCTCAGCACAACCACAGAGAAGCATTCAGTTCCTTAGAATTGAGCGTGGCGAAAGATAAGTTAGCCAGGCTGCTGGATCTTCAGAGTCAAGTGAACACTGTATGGAAAGGAGCTAGATGGCTCATAGACGTGATAACCTTCGCGAGGGATCGTGGATCCTCTCAGCAGAGCGTAAGTTCAATGCAATTATACAAGTGAAACGAATTATCTAAAATTTGGTGCATCATTTTAGACCGCTCTGTGATTCGTTATTGCAGGGTTCGTCGCAGACAGTCGGAATATCGATGAAGCACCTGCTCAGCCTCGACAGGAACAAAAGCAACAGTAACAGTAACAGTTTAAAGAGGAGTTTACTGCAATTACCACCTCGTGATCCAAAACTGGTCAAATCTAGTCCAGGTAGAGGTAGCTGGCCAGGGCCTAACGTGACCAGTTCCTCCTCCAATCTACTCACCACCGAGTTCAGCAAGAGTGAGCAACAGTTACCCAGTGGCCAATACGTTCGTAAAGGCAGCAACACCTCCAATGTGTCTACAGGCTCAGAGCCACCAAAATCTTCGATTCCTATGAGCAGCACCAGCAATCTGAGCAACACGACCAGCGCTGGTAGCAACAACCACTTGGTACCATTGCAGAACACGAGGTTACCGCCTTCTAAATCTGAGGACACTTTGATCCTAACGAAATACAAACACAGTCCAAGAAATAGATCAGCTACCATCACCTCTGCATCGGCCAGTACCAGTCCTTTGCTCAGTATAAAGCCTATCATCTACGGTGGTTCGCTTCTCAGCGTATCCACGGCCATGACGAACACCACCAGCCTATTGAGCGTGAGCAACACTAATTCAGACAGTTTGCACTCGCTCAGTAGCGATGAATATTCCACGCCTAATTCGAGTGTCTGTATGAAGAGCGGGCACACGAAGAGCAAGTCGTCTAAGCCTACTGCTAGCGTGGCGGCAATGGCGACAGGTTCGTTGGAGAGTCAGCTAGAGGAGGAGAAAGACGAAGCAACGATGATGCCAGCACCTTTGCCTGGCATTCTTCAGGTAGAGTCTATTGGAATCTAATCTAAAGAATTAACTATTATATACTTTTTTTTTTTCGTTCTGATCGAGGGAAAGTTAACGAACAAGGTTGGTCCTGTAGGTTGTGGTTAAACATTGTAACACAGTTTCCTCCGACGTTTGTTAATACTTAATTGCGTCACGATCTTTGCCTCGTTCTCAGCATTCGCGAGGTTACAATTACGAGCGATGATTACAGCTCATTACTTGTCACGAGTTTTTTCCCATTAGAGGAATTATTCTGTTGCATAAGCTTTCATAGAGAGTAATAAAAGCACTCGTTCCAATTTTGACCGCAATGCTTTGTCATTATTTCGAGGCCCCCAGACAGACTCCACCCATTGAGTTTAAATAATATTTTTCCTTGTAGGGAACACAAGTCTAACCCGATTGTAGTTAAAAACAGCTCACTTGGTCTTCTAGTGCAGACCGATGTAGCAGACATACGAGTAAGCCGCCATCACACAACACCGCTCTACGTATCAGTGCTTGTCTCGCTCAGATGCGCTTCTACAGATTACGCTTTTCGTGTGTCACACCTGAAATCACCATGGCAGAGCATGAAATATCGTCAGAGCTTTCAATTTATACCGATACAATTTTTCGATAAGATCGATGTGTTGATCCAGGTACAAATTTCCAAAGATCAATTCAATCTGAATGTTTATCTCGCATACTATGTATTATGTATATATACATATATACTGTTACAAGACACTGTGTTTATTTCATTTTCAATTCACACATTGTTCATTTATCCACCACCAATTCACTGTTATAACTTCCAAACATAATTTCTATTATTCGTTAACAACAGCCAGATGCATCGAGCAACGTGCTGCTGCCAGCTGAATGTCACTGCATATGCCGATTTTTCAGCAGAAAATCATATATGTGCAATCTGTTTCCATATAACGATATCGATCGAACTAATGGTACCCGATATTTTTTCAGGTTTACGCGGCCTACGAGACCGGTTTGGCTTCTGGAACCAGCCTGAAACTACACGTCACCCCGAGGACCACAGCCAGAGAGGTCGTGAACCTGGTTGTGAAGCAGCTGAACATGGCGGTGGTCTTGAAAGGTCAAGAGGATCCAATTTACACAGCAGACGAGCTACCAAATTTCTGCTTGGTGGCCGTGATAGGTGCAAGAGAGCGTTGCCTCAGGGACGACTTCAAGGTTCTTCAGCTTCAAAACCCTTGGAAGAAGGGAAGATTGTACGTGAGGCAGAAACAGGACGTCTTAGCGGCTCTCGAGCACAGCAGCAAACACACAGCGTATTTATAGCATAAGTAAAGGGATGGAGAGGAAGGAGAGAGACGGAATCTCCCTGTCTACTGATATAAGGAACAATTGCATCCTTTTAATAATTGGCGATAGAGGCCAAAGATCACTTAGTTCGATGCGTCGTGTGCCCCGTGAAATTTCAGATCAGAACAGATGGAATAAAAATAATCATTTCCTTTGTCCCTTTTTTGTTGTTCCTTTTATTTTTTTTATTTTTTTTATTTTCTTTGTGCGAGGTGTTTGGCTCTCGTTCACGAGGCACGGAATGCATCACGATGTACATAAATGAAACGCTTGGCTACATGAGGAACTTTCAGTTGTATCTATCGAGGCTCTAAGTAAAAATTACGCGTAATTAGGTAGAGAAGTGAAAGGGAAAACGATCGTCTTCAGTGGAACAGAATTTGTAATTTAGGCGAACATACGAACGAAAATAGTAACGTTAAAGAGGAATGGATAATACTCAAGGTATATCATACTGCTATATTTTAGGTATCGATCTCAGTGTTTTACTCGATATACAACAGATGTAAACGCGCCAGATGCTTAAGAGATCTCATTGTCCCAATTCTGTATTTCGATGTGTCCAGGTTGATACGCAAAATAGAATTTTCAAACCTGAGCTCTCTTTGTTCAATTACGAGTAAGCTTGGACACGTCGAACGAACCGAGAGCGTGAACCTTCGAAATGTAAGAAAGATTTTATATTTATATTTTTCAATTCACCTAACCTACTAGGACACGATTTTTTTTCGACGAGCTGTTTTTGTCAGCAGACTCAAGAAACGTTATCTTTTTTAGAAGAATTTCTTCAGTCTGTTAACATTGCGTCCTATTTTCACCATGATTCTTGTCCGTTCGTTTCGTTTTTTTTTTTTTTTTTCGCGAACGATGGGAACAATGAAAGCGTCCTGAAGATTATCGAGCAGAGAATCACTCGTGGTGCTTACGCGTAGAAGATGACGACGAGAGTGTATTAAAAGCGTAGTAGACGAAACGTGATATCGAGGTAAAAGAGGCTTATAGACTGTTGCGTAGACGTAAAAGAAAGAGTATTATTACTATCGTTGTACGTTAAGATTTTTAATTATCGCGACTGTAGGAGCACGAGCGTTTTTCTTACGTCCATTATTGACACGCGAGGAGTTAGTCTATTTTATTATATGAGATTGTTCGCTCTCTTTCGCGTTCTCCAGATCCAGTTTCTGTATTTTTTTTTTCCGTCGAAGCATACCAATGCTCTCTGTTTCTCTTTCATAAAACGAGCATTGTACGTGTACTTGTTTGTTGAAACTTTGTTTGGAATGAAAAGTATGATAAATTTATTACGGAGGAATTAGTGATGATCTGTTGGAATTCCAGGCACTCGAGGACTTCCTGATAAAGCGACCTAGACGACGCATTGGTGATATATTTATGGTGCATAGCGGATTGTAAAATACACCCTGGTTACACGGTACCACTGTCCAATGTGTCATACGCAATAATTTCAAGCCAAAATTAACGTACAATTCGTTTATTTCTACCAACGATAGACTTTTTTAATTGGTCGATATTTCTGTTTGCTACAAAAGTGCTTCGGAAAAAAACTTGAGATATCCGTCCTTTGCCTCACATAATTCGAGTAGATCGCAATAATTGAATAGTGGTGTCGTGAGTCGAGGGGCCACTTAAGTTTAAACGAAGATAATACAATGCACATATTTTTTTAACGAGAAAACAAAAGAGAGAGAAAGGTGAGAAAAAGGAAGAGAGATTTTTACTGTATTTTTTTGCCAGAGTGCGTACTTATCACGCGGTGTGGTCGGTACGTATTTTCACGAAAATAACGAAAAGATCTGTCTGCACGAGCAAAAAAAAAAAAAAGCAGTGTATCGTGAATAAACGAAGAAGATGAAGAAGAATAAGCGGAGAGACGGGGAAGAGTTAGAAGAAAAATGCGAAAAGAGATCTTAACGAGATAAAAAAGAAAAAAACAAACGCTAGAAAATTTATTAGCTCTACCTGAGTGTTTATCGATGTTGAGTGTAAAATTATCATTAGCTGTTAAGCGTTACCGCGAGAGGAAAACGAATTTTAAGACTCGAGAAACTCCCGGTTTTCCTCTCAGACAGAAGTTCCAAAAAAAAAAAAACAAAAAAAGAGAACACACACACACGCAGACAAGAAGAAATAACGAACTACTTGTAAATATTCAAAGAAATCTATGTATGTATAAAATATAAATGAAAATTATCGAAGAACCCGAAGTTAATTATTTTTCAGCCAGCATAGAACACAGTGTTAACATCTGTTCCTACACGATAATCATCATCGTTGTTCGTTACATTTGAAGAGAACTGAGAAAAAAAAGAAATTCATTAATTGTAGGTACATCGTTTATTTCACATTTCATATTCTTCTTTAAACTTTTCAATTATCAACTTTTCTTTGCATAACATTTTAGTTTTATTTTTAGCTTGAGAACACACACTGGGAAAGCTTGTACGAAGAAAACCTACCGGACACTCTATATAGATATATATATTGTTGAAAGAAGTTTGTTGGAGAATTGAAAGTTTGTTTGAAGAAGAAACTCGAGTAAATTGCGTTCATATTTCCTTAACGCTTTTGACGAGGTTGATTCGATGATACAATAAGGCTGTATAGGTTTTATTTCATTAGCCGGAGCGAGCCGTAACTCTCGAGGAGAGGAGAAATGAACCCGGACCCTCCACGACCGAGAGTCCCGCTGACCCACTTCCGTCTTGTTTCTCGTCTCATCTCGTCGAGCCACCTACTCCTTATTTATCCCCCACCCGGTGTAATGGTGCACTCTGGTCTTCCGGCTAGTTCCCAAGAGGAGATCTGTGGTAATGAAAAACTACCAGGGCATCCCCTCCGTAGAATGCCCCTTCGTAGGTCAGGTAACATCTTCTCGACGTCGCGTCGACACGAATTTCCTCGCATTTTAATCACATACCCGCGTGTGTGTGTGTGTGTCTATCGGTAAAGAAGAAATTTGAAAAATCGTCCTGCTTCTCGTCGTTTTATTTTTTTTTTTTAAATCGTTGAAAATTGATCGAAGAAAGTTTGAAAGGAAATTTTTGAATAAATCGTCCCCCTTATGATAAATTAATTAGAGTTCAATGTAGAATGCAATCGGATTATTTAGGAGATGAATACTTTTTTAAGAGAGAAATGAAATTTTGCAGATATTGGAACTCGAGGAATATGGAAAATGGGAGAAAATTAACGTGCTATTGGGTAAATGATGGAAATTCACAATTGAATGTAAAATGCAATCAGGTAATTCGGGAGATGAGAATTTCCTTAAGAATGAGATACTTATTTAAGAAATGAAAGTTTGCAAATTTTCGAATCGGTGACTGAAATTTTGCAAATACTGGAACCTAAGGAATCTGGAAAATCGGAGAAAATCAATGGTGCAAAATTATGAAAATTCACAATCAAATGTAAAATGCAATCAGATTTTTTTCACGGGTCGAGTTTCCTTATTTGAAAAATGAAAATTTGCAGATTTTCGAATCGCCAGAAATTTGGCAAATATTGGAACTCGAGGAATACAGAAAATGGGAGAATTTCGTTCGCGAAACTTTCGTTGGCTGAGCGTGAAGTGAGGCATTTTGTACAGCTTAATCCCGCCGCTATTGCAAGATAGAATCAGAAGGAACAAAAGACCGAGAGATTAGCGTAGGAATCATTAATCACAGTCGCAATCGCCCCGCGATAAAGAGCGACCGCTACGCGACTCGAGCCGGAAGCTCAGTACCGTATGCACGCCGGAGTCGAGTTCACTGTTCAATCGAATCGTGTTCGTAATCGCATTAATGAAATCCTGCTTTATTTACTCCTCAATTGCTACATTTATCCACTGTCCTTTCTGCGAAAGCCAGCCAACTTGTCTCGACTACCTTAAACATATCTCTAAAGAACAATTATTCCAAGATTAGCAAACACCTACGAGATCGTAAATTCTGAAATTTCTCCAAAATGAATCAGACTACTGTGCAATTATAGATAACATACCAACAAATATGGAAAATACAGGAGAATAAGGTTAGAATTTCTGTAGAAGAAGATATTTTCTCTAATTATCGAGTTGAAACGATGTGAAACGAGTAGGGACTAAAAAATGTAGAGGTTTTAAGGCTGAAGAAAAGCATAGTGTTGCGAGGGGTGTAAAACTCGTAGGTACATCGCTGCAGCGGCCGTTAAATTTGGTTTTGTGGGTGCATATACAGTTAATAGTCATTGTCAGGAGGACGAAGCGGCACGAGGCGATTGGTTGACCCGCAGTCCGGATTCGCCCTGAGCTGACCCCGTTGTTAACTGACCCACTGACGATACTGATAGCGGGATACCGCGTAGCTTGGTTCACCTCGGTCTTCACCATCGCTCGTTCCTTCTCCTCGATCTTTCCCACTAATTTTTCCACCGATTGATCACTTGGGAATTAACTGTTGCGAAAATTAATTATCTACGAAAATATGGGAAGTGGTAGGTGTTGAGAGAGAAATATGGAAAATGTTAGGAATTAAGAGAGGAATATGGAAAGTATTAAAAATTAATAGAAAAATATGGAAAACGTTAGAAATTAAAAGAAAAATATGGAAAATATTAGTGATTAAAAGAGAAATATGGAAAATGTTCGAAATTAAGAGAGAAATATGGAGATCCAAAAGAAAATATTAGTTACCCATACTCCGTTGAAACTAGGAAAAGTGTATTTTATATTTAGAAGCATGTTCGATAAACCACTTGAAATGTAAAAGTTTCTTCAATCGGACGTGAAATAATTGCTACTCTTGCACGGTGGAAAAATCCGTTTTCAATAATCGTAGGTAGGTTGTATCCCGAAGTTGGCAGATTCAACCTAGTTTCGGAACAGTCGTCAGATTAATAACGACGTTAGTAGGAAGCGATGAACGTCTGCCACGAGATCACTATGGCAGGGCGCAAAATGCATCTCCACTCGACGCATCCGTGATCTCCGTGTTCACGCGTCTCTCGATCGGTTCTCGAACGATTACGACAGCGGCGCATTGTGCTTGTGAGCTGCTCCCGAGGCTGTTACGAGAACCAGATTGCCGTAATAATTTGATTGATATTCGCTCTCGTTCGC